CCAGTCTCCATAGAACAACAAATGTTTATTGAGTGTATATTGGCATGAGCTATACCCTAAGGGTATAGTTATAATTAAGACACATTCTGTAAACTTGAGGAATTCATGGTCTACTGGGGTAGAGAAATATCTCAGCATGTAAGAAATTGCAAATAGTATGTAACATATAACAGCAAAGTAAAGGGGAGGGGGTGGATACAGTCTGAACTTGACCTTGAGGGGTAAGAGGGTGCCAAGCATAGGAAGAGAGAGGGCCTTCCAGAGCCACCCAGCCTCAGCTGAAGACTTAAGCAGCTGAGGCATGATGTCACAGCGCTGTTGAGGGCATGGTGGAGGTTCTGGTGGCTAGGTGGTGGGTGTGAGGAAGTGAAATGGAGAGGGGAAAGCAGGCCCAAAGGTAGGTGGTATATTCTTGTATATCGTGTCATCAAAAAGACAGCCTTCGTTTAATGGCACTTTTATATATTTGAGAAGAATGAGGAGGAAGAAGATCCAGGGAGGAGACTGTGAAGTTACCAGAGACCAAGTGTTTGTGTGGAAGCCTAGAGGGGGCAGGCCAGGTCAGGGGGCTGCTTATGAGTGTTGGATGCTGTACCAAGTTCAAATATAATTCCACTGTTTTCTTGATTGATATTTTCCTTCATAGCCTTATGTTTTGATTTCTAGATGCAACCAGAAAAGGTCCTTTCCTCAAAATAGTATCTTTTGATCAGTTTCAGCAGAGTTCAGAGAAGATAAACATTTAAGCTTTGGCCTTTTTCCTTGATTTATTACCACGTTATTCATTCTGTTGCATTTTAGTACTATGCTGCAAAGCTGTCTAAACCCTCTTTTCTCCTATCACTTCATTGACAAGTGGGGCTATTTTGCAAGTAAGTTTTGGTTTATGACTTGCCTTCAGTATATGCCTGTGCCTTATTGCCTGCCATTTTTGTCTTTTTCCATGTCTTTTCACTTTAATATAAGCTGAGAATTCTCTTTTGAGTTTTAAACTTGTTTCCTAGGTTCTTTCTTCACACTGTGAACCTAGCCTTTACATTGTCCTGGGTCATTCTGATTGCCTCGTTTGTTTATTGCATGGGAAGTCCTCTGCCTGCCTTCTTTTCCCTCTGTCGGCACACAGGCTGTCTTCTCGGCAGTGCCTGCCATCCTGCTTCTCTCCGCCTCATCGGCTCCCCTTCTCACTTCAAATCTCAGTAGTAAACATATGTTCTCCCTTGTCTGTACCTCTTAATTTCACTTTTCCACTGTTATTGCTTTCTCTGTAATTGTATTATTTAATTTTGTTAAGCATTTTATAATGTGGAAGATGTGGCTGAAAATAGAGTTGTATTATAATAAAATCATGTCATATAAAGCAAGTTGTTTCCTAAGGAGTATGAGAGTCTGAAGATTAAAAGTCGCAAGATAAAGTCTTAAGTTAAAATGGCTGTTATATATTTCTTGATTGTGCTAGTATAAAAAGTTTGATGTGTTGTGGAGAATTTCTCATCTCATAATCATTGTTGATAAGTGATTGGATTAAGCAACAAATACAATGATGACCACCCTATTTCTAATTCTGACTTCTTGTTAAATGGAAAACAATAGTTTTATATATTGAGAGTCTTTAAAATTAGTCTTTGAGTGATCTAGAAAAAAAATATATTTCTCTAAAGGTACGTTTTATAATCACCCTTTTGGACAAATTTAGTGTTTTGGACTAATATTTGTTTATTTGCAAAAGGTGGGAAAAATCGTTTTGTTTTTGAATCCCATTCTCCTCATAAAATAGAGGTATTGTATTTTTTGCACTTAGTTCATTGCCCTTTGGGATATTCATTGGTTATCACAAATTGCCTCCATTCCTTGGCAAAAGTCCAGACAGTGCTTCTCCATTGGTCGTTGTTACCCACGAGTCCTAAGACAATGACTCTATTCCCTTTTTCAGCTTCATTTCCCAGGGAAAAGTAGAGGGAGCTATCCTTTCTTCTCCATATGCTCTCCCCCACCCCTAAAACACTTTTATGGGTCATCTTAGTAGATTGGAAAGGAGTTTAGAATCAATGAAGGGTGTTAGCAATGGGTTTGCACATTTCCCTTTTTTATTTCTGACTAGCACTGCTGGAAAAAGAATAAATATATTTGCTTTTTCAGTGTACCATACAATGCTTTTCCATCTTTCAAAAATTTCTTTTGTCATTTTTTGCTTTATTTCACAAAAAATTAGCTCTAAGATTATTTTTATCCATAGTTGCAAAAAACCAAAAGCATCCATTTTACATTTCTATACTGAAGAAGTTTGAACATACAAATGTAACACATATTTATAGTTTATAACTCACTTTTACATATGTCACGTTAATGCAGAATTTTACTTAACCTTAACACAGCTTAAGAATATTGCCCAAATGACAATATTGCTACTTCTGATGTTTTCCTATAATCTACAATGGTAAAAGCTAGCTGGGAAACAGAAAGTTTGTGGCTTGGTATGTCAAACAGAATTTGACTTTCACAATTTGTCTTAATCTTCTTTTGCCAAGGATTACTGTGAGAGTTCACATGAATGATGCTATCTTATTTTGCAGATGTCTCTTCGTTTTATAAACTTTTACTTTCTGATAAACACAGTTTTATAAAGAAAGTGGAAGGAGCTTAGTTGAAACAACTTATAGACTGTGAAGTGAGAAGTGATGTCCAAAGATCATACAGTCAACTTGTCCATCCATCTTGGCAGATGGTTTTCTGTGCTTTCCTTGAATAGTTACAGGAGTAAAACATCCACAGTCTTCCAAATTAGATGATGTGTCAATTTAGTTGGATACTCGTTGTATGTTGTTCTTTATTTCCTAAATTTAATTTTTATAGTGTAACTTTATTTTGTTAATTCTTTTTCTTTTTAGAAAGAGAAGGATCAAGTAACTTTTTTGAAAAGTGACCCTTCTTAATTTACTTGGGGGCCTATTTTGAAATAAAGTATATATGGTAGAAGAAAGATCTGTACCCTTTCAAGTTTCTGTGTTAAGGATTTGAGATTTATATAGTTGTAAAATTTTTTGACAGATATATACTTCTGGCAGGTGAAATGTTTGAATAAAGAAGTGATATAACTAGGTAGTTATTTTCCCACATTTATAACGTGACCTATATACTTCACTTGATGTTAGGTGAATCTAGTTCATTGACTCATGATATATCCTAGGAACATGTGCTACAGAAACTATTTATTTTAATAAATGCTTTGTTACCCTTCTCCAGAAAAAGGTTTGTTCCAGTTGTTCTGTTTCTTGTTCTTGGGGTGCAAATTCCTCCATTTGATGAATCTACTGACTGTCCCTCACCACTGTTCATTTTTTGTTGTCTATGATTTTTTACTGTGATACATCTTTAATAAAGGTTTAGTCAGTTCTGTGTTGTGGAAGCATCCCAGCCTATAAGTTGCAAGGATTTTTCACATTTGCCCCTACAGGTCCTAAAGTTTTACCAGTTCAGGACTACTATATTTTTCATTTCTTGGCTTGGGGATGGGGTGGAATTCTAAACCATGAAGGCAGTGTAAATTTAGGCCCACACCCTATGCATGGTACATACGTAACAGGGTTCTGATTTCCTCTGGTGACTTTGCCCCTGATGCCTAAGTTGGTGTCATGCCTACTCCAGCTTCCTGATTGGTGAGCTAAGTTCTCGTAGTCCTGGTTCCATGGATAGGGTGATCCTTTCCGAGCTTTGCTTTTATGAAGGTCCTTCCAAATGTGATCTGTGTCTTGAAATAACTTCACTACGTGGGAGTTAGAGAGTCCCCTTGGTTCTAGGAGTCATGTTAGCTTCAGCTCTTGCCCTCTGCTCTTTGACTTTCCTCTTTGTTTCTCTCAACCTTGTATTCTCTGCACTTGTTTTAAGCTCAGCTCTATTTAATCTTTCACTGGTTATATTTTATCAAGCATTTCAGTGTGTTTGGATCTGGCTGGAATTGAGAGGCAGAGGGATGCCATTACATGACTTAAAATTATTTTAGACTCATAATATTTTTTTATTTGCTTATCACCTTTTTGTCAACATGTCACATATTTTGTGCCTGCTATATGTATTGAGTACTTTGAGAAATGAAGATCTTTGGCTACAGTCTCTTCAAGAAACTTACTCCTAATGTAGACCCCAGTGGAGCAAGGGAATATATCTGATACATATGCAGTGCCAGTAGGTGCCAGAACGTAAACCTATTAATATGGAGTAAAATGGTTGGGAAAGAAATTATAGAAGAATTAAGACTTAAAGTAAAATGTGAAGGGTAGTTAGAACTTGACTGCATTTACTGTGTTAGACAAGAAGAGATTGGTCCAGCTTGAAGAGAGCCTTGAAACACCAAACCAGGCAATTTAGATTGTGTCTTGTAGGTAAGAAAAGGTTTTTGAGTAGGAAGACATTTAATGCAAGTAATTTTTTGTAATCTTAGTGCTAAAGTTTTGTAAAGCTAGCGCATTGCTCTACTAAAGAAAAATTGTTATGTTCCCCTTCTTTTACTTAGGAGAATTTAAATTTCAGACTTTACAGGTACAAAAACAACTAGGTTTGATTTCCTGTTTGTATGGACAAGAGGTCAGCTACTCAATGAGGACAGGGGCCAGGCCTGTGTCATAGATGAGTGGAGCTGTGTGGGAAGAAGGGTGGCCACTGGGAGAACTTAGGCCTCTTGCAGTCCTCTTGGTTATTACTGGCTACAAACTAGATCAGATTTTTAAAAACACTGTTGGGCCCCAGTAAAATATGTCTGCAGGCATAGTTATAGGTTTGCAACCTCTGTATAGATAGGGATCATTATTATATCTTTATTACATTCTGTCATAAAATTTTAAAAATATTCAGAACTGTCCACAAAATTTAAAAAATTGTGACTTGTTTGATTTGAAAGTTCTGCGTCTCATATGTGACTTTTTATCTATAATAATCTTTTTTGGGATATTTGACTTCCTGAGGTGGAAATAAAAATATTTCCCAAAACTCTTATCTTACAGGTAAAAGAATGTCACATTTCAGTATATGAACCTGAAATCAGCATGCACATTTCAGGCCACATGGGTGAGTGCCAGTTTTTGCATTTTCTGTGTGTATCCTGTGACCGAATTCTACCTGGAGTAAGTGATTTCTAAGAGTTACTGGCAACAAATCAGATGCCAGCCAGCCATGGACTGCCCTAAAAAATAATGCTGAAAGTTATAAATTAAACACTGGTGATGTGTGATATGTAAGGCAGTTAATTTAGATGGTCTGGATTAACTGTCACCTCCAAAAAACTATATTCCCATAATATGAAATCTGTACATAGCATGTTTGGCATAGAGTACTAATTAATAGGAAATTATTTGTTAAAATGTGCAATAACAGCAATACCTAAGATTCTTTTGAATTTACAGGACCTCCAAAAAACTATATTCCCATAATATGAAATCTGTACATAGCATGTTTGGCATAGAGTAATAATTAATAGGAAATTATTTGTTAAAATGTGCAATAACAGCAATACCTAAGATTCTTTTGAATTTACAGCAGTATTTTAGTGTTTCACTATTTATTTTAAATAATTTTAATTTTAAAAGTTCAGGGACTTAGTATTTCTTGAATAATGGTTCTAATTTCGTGTAAGCTAGGGTTTTTTGGATTGTACATCTTCCATTGCTTTATAATACCTGTTTTGCTTCCCATATAGCATAAAGTTGTATACATTTACAATATGTATGTTTTTTTAAAATACATTTGATAAATTATTTATACCAGAGATTCACAGTTACAGTTTCAAACTTGTTTTTTCAAAGTTTTGTTCTGGGAAATTACATTGGGGATAAAGCCTGTTCATTACCTTATCCATGCATTTTTCTGCTTGCTTATATTATTTTACTTCACCAAGCCGTTCATTTTTTAGAACATTCTTCAAGGAGTTCACGCGTCTTACAGAGGACACCTGACCTTTTGAAGTGTCATAATTCACATCTAGATGTCACCAGTCTTTCCCATGTTAACAGTTCTGACTATGTTTTATTATATATGCCTTCGACGCCGAGCTAGGACAGCTGCAAGAGGAGAAATGATGGACAGCCATAGGACTATAGAATCAAATAGCCGGACTTCCTCTCTCAATGCAGAGGTGGTCCAATATGCCAAAGAAGTATTAGATTTCAGTTCCCATTATGGAGGTGAGAATAGTATGTCCTATACCATGTGGAATTTGGCAGGTGTACCAAGTGTATTCCCAAGTTCTGGTGACTTTACTCAGACAGCTGTGTTTCGAACCTATGGAACATGGTGGGATCAGTGTCCTAGTGCTTCTTTACCATTCAAGAGGACACCACCTAATTTTCAGAGCCAGGACTATGTGGAACTTACTTTTGAAGAACAGGTGTATCCTACAGCTATTCACATTCTGGAAACCTACCATCCTGGAGCAGTCATTAGAATTTTGGCTTGTTCTGCAAATCCCTATTCTCCAGGTCCACCAGCTGAAGTAAGGTAAGACTCATTTTTTAATGATCTAAGTTATATGGCTGAAAGGTTTTGTTTGTTTTAATATTGTAGGTCTTTTTTTTAATTGCAAGCACTCTCTTAAGTAATTTGAACAAATTTGATTTTGGAAATTTTCTTTGGTTTTTTGATAGGAAAGAGAGATTGTATAGATGAAGATTTAATGCATGCTTTATATCTGTAACACCTCACATTGTAATATTCATAGATCGTGATATTTGTATGTCATAGAATTTACCATAAATGAAAAGCACAATTTGAACTCTAGGGATATGGGCCAGTCTGAGGAGTTAGTAAGAAATATAACATCTAAGATATTTTAAAGAGGCGGCATGTTATTCCTTCTAAATACTTTGAACAACTTAAAATAGGCCTGCACAGTGATACTTTAGAGGAGGTCCTTATGGGATTAGCTTTAATGTTAGGTGGATGTTTTTATAACAAGCATATTCATTTAAAAATAAATGATGCTTTAAGTAATTCATGCATTCTCCCCACAAGCCTGTTTACATCATTAATTTGCATAGCAGCTCCTATCTCTTGTTTTTTATGGTTCAGCCTCCTGGTTTTTTAAATATAATTGAGTAGGTAATATAATCACATAGGTCAGTAATCTAAAAAGTACATAATGCAGTCTTTCACCTACCCTGTTTTCCATGTGCATAGGAACTATCCCTCCAAAGAAATCACTTTTATTGGCTTCCTTTGTATCTTTTCAGAGTTTCTTTGTGCAGATACAAGCAAGTACAAATATATTTTTATTTTCTTCATACACAAAAATAATTGTACTATTCACATTGTTGTGTACCTTGTTTGTTTCACATAGTATATATTGGAGCTTTTCATTAAGTACAAAGAGAGCTTCCACATTCTTTTCTACAGTTGCAAGTAATGCATAGTGTATTGGTACCCCAACTTATTAGCCAGTCCTCCATTGATGGGCACGTAATTGTTTCCAGTCTTTTGCTATTGTAAACATTAATGCAAGGAATAACTTTATCAAAGGCACTTCACAAGTGTGCAAATATATCTGTGGGATAAATTTCCCAGAAGGGGTGTTTGACCAAGGGTGTATGCATTTGTAATTCTAATATATAGTGCATAATTTCGCTCCATAGGGGCTGTACCTATTTATATTCCCACTAGCAATGTATGTGCATGCGTGTTTTGCCAGAGCCTTGCCCACAGAGTATCTTAATAAATTTCTATATTTTTGCAATTTAATAGGTTAAAAATGTTATCTCATGTTAATTTTGTTAAAATTTTTTATTATCCCTGAGCTGGAATACCTTGTCATATGTTTAAGAGCCATTTTTATTTCCTTTTCCTTGAATTATCTGATCCTGTTATTTACCTGTCTTTCTATTACTTGCTGCTCTTACCAGTTTTTAGATCTTTAGATCACTTTATTCATTCATTCATTAAATATTTTAGTGTCTGTCATGTGGTGAGCATTGCTCTAGGTATTGGGGATATGTCAGTGAATAATGAACAAAATAGACAAAAATCCCTGCCCTTGTGAGCTTATTCTAGCCTGAGAGCAGTTGGTAGGTACCTGTTCAACTGTGGGACTCCAGCTGCTAGTGGAGGAGGAGTGGGGGCAGGAATCAGCCAACACCTCTGTGGCACACTGCTTTCTTGATGTCTCTATACCCTCAAATTTAAGGGAACACCTCTATAGCCTACCAGGAGACAAATACAGAGTACACCTCATCTTAAGGTGGAGACTACAGGTATAATCTTTTACTTTCAGAACTACATTGACAATTCATGGTGAACAGTGTTACTAATGAATCATTTTTTTAAAACATATAAAACCAGCATTCCTTAATATACAGGAAATTTCCTCTCAGGAAAAAAAAAAGTATTTTCTTATGTGAAAATTGTTTTATTAGGACTCTGTCATTCTTTGTCTCTTTCCTACATAGTTATCCACTTTTTTCCTAAAAAGCTAAACAAATTTGGGGATGAGATCTATGAAACAGGTAATGCCTTTTCTCCAGTCTAAAACTTAATGGCTACCTAATTGATTTTGAATACAGATCATGCTCTTGGGGTCCTGAGAGTTATCTGTGATTGTGATTAAAGTTAAAAACTTTATTTATAGACGTTTCTCAGATTTTGTTTTACTGATTTTTAGCTTTATCCCACAGAAAACACATCAAATTTTAAGACAAAAAGAATCCGACCAATATATATTATTACATTATAAGAAAAGGCCTTTTAAAATTTTACTGATTATGAAATCAAAAGATGTTTCAGTGTAAAAAAAAATTGTTAGAAAATATAAAAAAAGGAATATATACTTTTTAAAAAACCTATAATTCTTCTGCCCAGTTTCAGTAACTGTTAACATTTTGGTCGATTTCTTTAGACAATCAGAAACGTTTATTTAATACCCTGTCTGCCGTTTCACTGCTGGGAACAAAATAGAGAGCGAGACACAGGTGGCTCTTGTTCTTTGAGCTTACAGTTACAGGCCAGCCTGGAAGAGGACCACAAGATTGTAGGGAACATGCATTGTCAGAGGGGAGAAACTAATCTATGGGGCTCAGAGAAGGCTTCTCTGAGGAATGAGGGTTGAGTGTGGCTCCAGTATAGACAGGAAAGGTAGAGAGAGAACAGCACATTCAAAGTGAGATCATGAGATGAGATCATGGTGTTTGAGGAAGTGGGGGAAGTCCAAGAGTGTAGAGAAAAAGCTGTTGGAGGCTGAACACGTGGGAATGACATTCTTAAGATCTAAACTAGTGGTTTCTAGACTTCGGGATTTCATAGATATCTTGGACCGAGCTTCTTAGATGCAGACCTTGAGATGACTATTCCTATGCAATTATTATGGAAGTGCTCCAGGAGAAACTGGTAATGTGGTGGGGAAAGCATGGTAGGGAAGGGGAAAAAGTCAAGCAAGGGTGCGACTTCCTGTGAAGTCCCAGTCACTAGGGCTCTTACACTCATGCACCACAGTCTTTGGCTGTGGACTGGAGGGTTAGGAAGGGGACTGAAAATCTTTCAGGCACATGCTACTCTCTGGATGAAGAGGCTCCAGGAGCCCAAGGTAGTTCTGTGAAGAAAGTTGCAGGTGTAAGCCCTTACAGGCAAAGCAAGCCCATCTGGAGGATGGGCACACAGAACTGACCAGGGGATCTGAATGGAGCACAGGTGGGAGGAGTCAGCTTCAATAACCCAGTAAGCATAATAATGATTATAAAAATTAGGGAACTCGTTAGAGTTGTCAGATTATTTACTTTGCTGAGTAAGCATACATTAAAAGATCTGGAATAAGACAAGGATGCCCACTCTTCCCACTCTTGTTCAGCATAGTACTGGAAGTTCTAGCCAGCACAGTAAGGCAAGAGAAAGCAATAAAGGGCATCCAAATTGGGAAGGAAAAGTCAGACTATCCCTATTTGCAGATGACATGATCATATACATCGAAAACCCTAAAAACTCCACCAAAAAATTACTAGAACTAAGAAATGAATTCAGTATAGTGACAGGACACAAAATCAACACACAAAAATCAATAGCTTTACTATATGCCAATAATGAAATAGCTGAAGAAGAAATTTAAGTAATCTCATTCACAGTAACTAGCAAAAAAATGAAATACCTAGGAGTAAATTTAACCAAGGAGGTGAAAGAGCTGTACAGTGAAAACTATAAAACACTAGTGAAAAACATTGAAGAGGGCACAAATAAATGAACAGATATCCTATGTTCATGGTTTGGAAGAATTAGCATCATCAAAATGTCCATATTACCCAAAGCAATATACACATTCAATGTAATCTCTATCAAAATACCAATGACATTCTTCACAAAAATAGAAAAAAATGAATAAAGTTTGTATGGAGCCACAGAAGACCCCATATAGGTAAAGCAGTCTTGAACAAAAAGAATAAAGTTGGAGACATCACAGTCTTTTCAATAAATGGTGCTGGGAAAACTGGATATCCACATGCAGAAGATTGACACCAGGTCCCTCTCTCTCACCACACACAAAAATCAACTCAAAATGGAGTAAATACCTAAATTTAAGACCTGAAACCCTGAAACTACTAGAAGAAAACATAGGGGAAACACTACATGAAATGGGAGTGGGCAGTGCTTTTTTGAACAAGACCACAAAGGCACAGACAACTTAAAGCAAAAATACACAAATGGGACTACATCAAACTAAACAGCTTCTGCACAGGAAGGGACACAATCAACAAAGTGAAGAGACAACCTACAGAATGGGAGAGAGTGTTTGCAAACTACACATCAGACAAGAGACTAATATCCTGAAAATATAAGGGAGTCAACTCAACAGCAAAAATGAAATAACGCAATTAAAAAATAGGCAAAGGATCTGAATAGACATTTCTCAAAAGATAAGACAAGAGACTAATATCCTGAAAATATAAGGGAGTCAACTCAACAGCAAAAATGAAATAACACAATTAAAAAATAGGCAAAGGATCTGAATAGACATTTCTCAAAAGATGACATACAAATGGCCAAAAAATAGATGAAAAAAATGTTCAGAATCACTAATCATCAAGGAAATGTAAATTAAAACCACACCAAGATAGCATCTCACAAGCAACGATTTCACAAAGTTGTCATTGTCTGGTCCCCTTGACACTGTGGGCCAAGAAACATGATTTTGTCATTTAAGTTGGAGTTGACCAGGCCCTTCACTAGTTTTTTTTTTTTTTTTTTTTTTTTCCCAAAGCGGAATGCCAGTTTGTTGGTTTCAAGTTAGAGATGGGCTTGTAGGCAGAGAGTGAGTAGGTACATCTATCAGAATACTTGTTTCTTTTATTCCTGTTTGTTTTCCTACAGTATCTGTATTAGTCAGGGTTCTCCAGAAAGACAGAATCAATAGGATATGTTATGAATATCTGAGAGGGGATTTATTAGGGGAATTAGCTAATGAGATTATGAAGAAAAGTCCTATAATAGGCCATCTGCAAACTGAATTCTGGTTGCATGGCTCACTCCAAGTCCGAAGGCCTCAAAACCAGGGAAGCCGATGGTGTTCTTGTTGTAAGTCCTGGAACCCAAAAGCTGAAGAGTCTCGGGTTCTGATGTCAATGGACAGGAGAGAAGAGAGTATCCCAGCTCCAGCAGATAGATTCACTTTTTTTCTGTTTTTTGTTCTCTCCAGGCCCCGAGCGGATTGGATGGTTCCCACCCACGTTGAGGGTGGGTCTTTCCCACCCATTCCTCTCAGACTCTCATGCTAATCTCTGCGGAAACACACACGTATAAAGATAGCTTTACCAGGTTTCTCGGCATTCCTTAATCTAATCAAGTTTACACCTAGAATTAACTTTCACATTATCCCTTTACTTTCACCCAGTAAAATTTAACAGGGATGGCAGGAGAACTTTGTTTACACTGGCTACTAAGATATGCTTACTATGAGAATTTTTGGTTACAGGGAAGCTTTCTGCACCCGTGTGCCTGACTTCAAACCTGAATACAAGTTAGAAAACTTGTTTTCTCTTGTTTTCATTAATGAAACATCTCTCTTCCTTTTTTGTCTACCTGGTGTTTCTTGGTTGCCTAAAGAGAATTTCTCTGTGGTGTAAAAGCAGGTCAGCAGTCAGACAGAGTGGTCTGTTTATGGTTTCTGAGCATTGGACACATAGTAGGCATTCAGTACAATTAACATTTAAACACAAATTTAATGTACAAAATTACAGCTAGATAGGAAAAATAAGTTATAATGGTCTATGGTAGTGCTAGGTGTCTAACAGTAATTTATTGTATGTTTTCAAATGATTAGAAGAGAGGAGCTCGGGCCGGCCCGGTGGCGCACTGGATAGTGCGCCGCTTGGGAAGCGTGGTGGCGCTCCCGCCGAGGGTTCGGATCCCACATACAGACCGGTTCCCGCTCACTGGCTGAGTGAGGCGTGGGAGCAGCGCCGAGGGTTGCAATCCCGTTGCCGGTCCCCGGTCCAGTACGGGGGCAACACTGAGGGTTGCGATCCCTTGCCGGACACGGAAAAAAAAAAAAAAAAAGAAGAAGAGAAGAGCTCAAATGATCTCATTACAAAGAAATGATAAATTTTTGCAATGATGGGTATGCTAATTACCCTGAGTTGATCATCACACATTGTATGTATGTATTGAAATATAACTGCGTACCCTATTAGTATGTACAAGTATTATGTGTCAATTAAGAATTTTTTAAAAAATTAAAAATAAAGCTTCATCTAAAAAAATTCACTGTGATGCAGATATCATAAAATCAATTTGTAGTGGTCTTGTAGTTAATGTTAACTTAATTCTAGTGTCCACAGACCTATAAAATAATTTCTATCTTTTTATCATTTTTCCTTGTTACTTTTTAGATTATCAGGAAAAAATAAAATAAAATAATGATTTACTTGGAAATTTTTTATATTTAGACATTTAAAAATTTTTGTAAAAACTTATAATATCCTGATATTCTTCTTTAGGTATGCTATCATTTCTACAACTTCTGATATATGAGTAACTAAATATATAATATTCATGCAATATAGAAGTCAGAAGAAAAAATGATGTTAAAATAGCATTAATCCTGATATGTTTAAGCATACTAGAAATGTTAAGGAACTCAGTTTAAATCATCATCTTAACCTTGTCTATTTTGCATATTCTGCAAGGTAGAAAGGACTTTAGTAGGTTAATACATTATTAAAATGGAATATTTATGCTCTAATCAATTCATTTCTTTAAGCTTATATTTGTAATTTTATAATTTAATTTACATTATACAGGTAATGCATTTCAAACTATATATGAAGAACATGTACTGTCTACTTTTTTACTTATTGCAAAGCACCTGGCAGAGGTGGTTTCCATACAGTATTACTTTTTCAGTGGGTGTTAAGCCTCTCAAAACCCCTCGCAGAAGCTACGTGGTAAAATAGACTGGTTTATTCCACATATACTGTGAACCAGTATAGGCAGTTATTTCATAGGGTCCCGAGTGGTCTTTGTTTTTTGGACATGAGATGTTCCTCCAACATCATCTGGTGTCATTTTGCAGCAGCAACAAAAGGCTGAGTAAAACCAGTTTGTCATACATTCCACAGTTTCCCTCGTGATTCTTGGCCATTCAAAATCAGGTATGCATTTTCCCACAAACACTGTTTTAGTTTACTTCTGTTCTCCTGTACCTATATGACTTACTCTATTTAACTGTATAGATTTGTGTTAGAGTGTTCAAATCAATTCCATTGTTAGGGAGCCGTGAGATTTTTGTGGGTAATCTCTAGGGGCACTTCTTAGGTCTAGTTGGCACTCCCAAGTTTATTTTTCTGCTTCATCACAGGAAGAAATGCCCAGCCTGCTTTCCTTTCCTTTCTGAACCTACTGTGACCTGCTCTGTTCCTTGGAGCTCTTCTTCTGCCTCCCAAGATTGGTTATAGAAGTGTGACTAATCTCTCCATTCCTACCTTCATGTTGTCTCTGAATACAAATGCTCACAACCTCTTTATGTTTAATGGGTTTTATTTCTAATTTTCAGGAGAGAATCAGCAAACATAACAAATATAGGATGATTACAAAGGTTCTAGAAACTGTAAGCAGTCCTACTGTTATAGTTCCCTATTCTGTGGTTCCTGATTCCATTGGTGATATGTTTGCTAGAATTCCTGTTCAACTTGTGCCTTCTGCTTTTATTCCTGAAGGTAGAAATTACCATACTTTCCCTTCTCCATTCTGAGATTGGGGCTCTTTGCCCTTTTTTGGCCTAAAGACCATTTAGGGTACTTATATGTTGATGGCTTCTATAGTTTTGGCTCAGATTTCTCCTCTGAATTTCACACTCTTTTGTCTATTTCCATTTCTATATGCCTTGCCATGGTTAATCAGTTTTTACTTAGATCTCAGTAGGTCGTTGGGCCAAGGAAATGAATTGACAATTTATTGGGGGAAAAGACCTTGTATGATTAATGAATATATAAAAACATTTTAAGTATTATTAGTAATCAGTGGATTTTAAATTATATCATAAAGAAATATTGTTCACTATTAAATTAGAGATTATTTGAAAAAACTTGATAATGCTTTCAGTGGTTATTCTTATATGCTGTTGGCATAAGATTTTTGTAATCAGTTTAGAATATATATTGAGAGACTTAAAAATATTCGTATTTTTTGACATAAAATCTTTATTAAAATATGTTGCTAGCCAAAGTAAATAATTAGAAATACAGTAAAGATATTTTGAAGTATTTTTATCTGTTTCTAATTTTCACTGCTATCTTAGAAAAAATATTAGAGAAAGTTAATTTTGACATATATGAGAGAATTAAGTACCTGATGATACTGTTATGAAGAATCTTTAAATAATTTTGGAAAATAATTTTATGAGAAGACAAATGGAGGTGGAATATGAGTTAGGCGTTGAAGTGCATTTCATTGGAGGAAGATAACATGAATAAAGACACAAAGGTGTTTATTAGGAAATAAGTTTATTTTGTGGAAATAAGTTTATTGTATCGAAAGTAATGACTAATTGGCTGGGAAGTGGTGATTCATTTGGAGGGATAGGAGAGAATATTATTCATCTGTTCCATGCTAGATACTGTTGCAGTACCCTAGAGGTACTGAGGATACGAGGATGACTAAAGATGACAAAAATGGAATTTCCAAAAATGGAAAAGGGCGAGCAATTTCCTGAAAAATGTAACAAAACTTAATGACTGGATAAATGAGAGAGAAAATTAAAGATAACGTGAAAGTTTTGAGTTTGTATGAGGCCAATAACAGAAATGGAAAAGCTGGAGAAGGAGACCTTTGTACGGCAGGATGATCAGTTTAGTTTCTGCAGTTGGCTTAGGACGTGCACACAGGAGAGTTTGTGGAAAAATAGAGTTAAAAGATAATACAAAGCTTTCCATGAACTTTTTGAGGACCCCACATATTTTAGTTTTTAAACTGACAATGTGAAATCTGCAAAAAAACTTTTTTGTTACTTAAAAAATAATTTAAATAATAAGGTCTATGTGTTGGCAAAATAGAATAATTTAATCAGGCCCCCTCACCTTAGGTCTGGTTGGGGGTGGTGCAGTGCATTCTTTGTAAATGAGATGAGTTGTGTGAGGGTGGAGGTAGTGCACATGGGTGGCTGGCATCTACTGCCTCAGGTGTCTGCCCCACATGGGCATGCTCTCCATCCTATGGCTCCAAGGACCTCTTTGCCAGTTCCCTAGCTCATAGACCTGCATGTGAAGGGTTTGTGACTCAGTCTGTGAACGGGCTTGAGGGGTCTGTGAGCACCAGACCCAGCCCTAGCTTGACACTATGGTATTTAGTTTTTTAAAGCTTTTCATATCCCGGAAACAGTACTTGTGTTTGATTTTAATCAACTTATTTGATGACTTTGTTTTACCCTGTAACATTGGGCATGGGGCCATAACTTTAAGGTACTGGTAGATCTCATTCTAAACTGTATTATAGGGAAGTTTCTTTCTTTGGCAGATGGGAGATTCTGTGGTCAGAAAGACTTACGAAGGTGAATGCTTCCCAGGCTCGCCAGTTTAAACCTTGTATTAAGCAGATAAATTTTCCCACAAATCTTATACGACTGGAAGTAAATAGTTCTCTTCTGGATTATTACACTGAATTAGATGCAGTTGTGCTACATGGTATGAAGGACAAGCCAATGCTTTCTCTCAGTACTTCACTTATTGACATGAACGATCTAGAAGAAGATGACTATGAAGAAAATGATGGTTGTGGAATGGACAATCTTAACCAAAATTTTAGCAATGCTGCCCTCAGGGAAGGGTCAAATAATGGATATTTTGATAAACTACCCTGTGAGGTAAGCCAAAAATATTCAGTAGCAATATTGGACGTGATCCTATAGATTTTTAAATGTTTAGATATTAATGTTTATTTTGCTAGATATCAGAGGAATAGAGCATTGGTAAGGTGTACGTAATCTGATATGTTGTGTATTTTGATTTGGGAAAAACTAGACAAAATTATGTTAGCCCATTTCTTTGCTTTTGTTTTGGATAGACTTTAGTGATTGTAGATAAGCTGTTAAATATGATATATATTATGTCACTAATTAACATAACCAAATACATAAACCAATAATAAATTAAACTCTAATTCATAATTATGCAAGGAAGTATGGGCAATATGTGCTTAACTTTATACCAGCTATTTTAAAGATGATTTGCTGTTAAAAAAGTATTGCTAAGATTGTGAGATGAAAGCTTATTCCATATAATAATCCACAGTTTCTCTAAGTGTCATTTGTTCTTCTGTGCTAACTCTATTCTACATTCTTCTAACTATAATTTTTGGTATAGGCAGATACAGAATGCCTTTACCTGGAAATACTTTTTCTGCGTCTAGTGTGAAGTCTTATTTTCAGTGTTTTTCAACAGGGGCACTTCTGTAGTATATTTAACATCACTGTTTCCCAGGTGTGAGATGCCAGTAACATTCCACAGCCATGTGACACCAGAACCTCTCCCCACTTGTTTCCAAATATCCTCTGGAGGTGGAAGTAGGGCCAGGCATATATTATTATTATTTTTTCTGTGAAACATTTATTTCCTTTGAAACCTCCAGTAATGTGGCAGAGAAATCTCAAGGCAGGGATGGGGAAGAAAAAAACAGACAATAAGGAATAATAATAAAAAGTCAAATGAAACAAATGAACATATAAAAGAAAATCCTGCTGCTATCTTCGGCCATCAGATAGAACAATAACTTCAAATTAAATAGATTTGTTTTACAGAAATCCTTAAAAAATAACAGAAAACAAAATCAAAAATCATAATTTACACTTGTCAATGTACATGATTAAGTCCTCAGAATGATTCAAATGATCTGAAGATATGAGGAGACACTAAAATAAATAAATAAATAAGCGTTCCAGGTTAGGGTGTGAGGACAAAGGTGGGGGTGGGGGATGGGGGTGCCCTCCAGAAAAGGGGATCAGGGAAGGAGAGACAACACAGTAGTTGGCCAGGGCTGAGGATGGCTGCTGGTCAGGCTCAAGGGCCAGCCATTTCTGTCTCCTGCTGAAAACTGCTGTGTGTGGTTAAAAATAATATAACCAATTTTCTTTTAAGAAAGATTTATAGATTCAAATTTTAACCAAATTAGATTATCCCCCTTTTAAATTGATGAGTATTTCAGACTTAATTCTAATAACACAGGTAGCTTAACTTGTGTGGAACGATAAGATGGTCTCTTGAATGCCTGACGATCACAATAACTGTAATGCTTGCACAACAGTTTATGGTTAAAACGCTATGGAACATCCTGTGAAGTAGCTAAAGTTGCCACATAAAGATACATTTAAGGGTCCAGGGTAATTCAGTCAGTAAGCCATAGGACCAGGATCCCAGCCAGGTCTTCTGGGTCTTGTCTCGTGTTACAAAAAGGAAGCTTCACAGATTGGACAAGACTGTCTGGTTCTTAATGGGAGGAGGGAGGAAAGATGAAGGAAGAGTGGAGTTAGTGAGAGAGGAGATTGAGATATTGATAGTGTTGTTCCTCAGGGCTCTGAGGAGGATCTGTCCTGGCAGCAGTGGAAGCAGTTCATCTGAAGGAGAGTGAATCACCATTTCTTAAAACTATAAAATAGAAATTTAAATTCAAATATATTTTTAAAAGTCTATTGAATTTTATCCAGGCCTGATAAAATGCTAGACACATAGCATTCAAATGAATGGCAGAGGGGAGAGAATGTGCAAAGGCAAAAAGAAGTGAAACCATGTGACCTATTTGGGAACTCCAGTGTTTCAGTATGGCCAGAACACATGACTTGATAGGGGAAGCTGGAAGAGATGAAATGGGATGGAGCCTCGGGGCTGCCTCAGTGCACAACACCACTCACGGAGATGACAGTGAGTGGGACACCCTAGCCTTGGCAGTGCATGGTCTCCTCTGCCACATCATAGAGGGCTTTCTGGATTTTACCAAGTGGTTTGCATTTTATCCCTTAAGCCAGTGGTTTTCAGGGTGCTGTGTTTCTCCAGTGTACAGCAAAGTTAGTTGGGGGTAGAGGAGTTACAGATACTTTAGACTTTGTAAATAATTTACTTTTGCTAAAAAAATTAGAGCGGATATTCAAGATCATAGCTATAATAATTTCACAGTGACTTTCTTGTGTTCTTCATTTACTCTTTTGGAGTGGGAAAGAGAGATGTGGAATCATAGCTAATATTCCAGAAATTATCCATAATATGCAGGTATTTTTGCATATGCTTTGGCCGCCAATTAAAATAATTGCTCAGGTGTTTTAGTCTCACGTGAATTTTGACTTTCATATGTGCCATGGCATAAAACAGATTGTGAATCTTTTCTGTAGGCAGTAGGGGAACATTGAAGGTTTTATTTTATTTAATTTTAATTTATTTACTTAAGAAGAGAGTAACAAAATGAGATTTCTGTTTTAGATTACACTGGTGGTAAATGAAGAATAGAACAGCAGGTGGTGGGAGGCAGAGATACCAGTGAAGAAGTTATTGGAATAATTGAGGCAAGAAATGATGAAGCCTTGGAAATTGAAATGGTGGAGAGGAGATGAGGTGGGAGGAGTATTCCAGAGATTCAGAAGGTAGTAATCAAAAATAATTAGTGTATGTGAAGGTGAAGCAAAACATCAGAGGGACTTTTAGGTTTCAGGTTGGAATGACTCAGTGGATCGATATTCCATTAATCATAAAACTGTGGGTGAAGGTGGTAAGGGGACACTGACTTTGAGGTGCCTGTGGTTCATCTAAGCAGACTTGTCTGGTTGAGGACAGTTGGCTGTTGCTATTTGAGTTTGAAACAAAGTCTGAGTTTACATTTGAGTAAGTCTGCTCTAAAGTGGAGAGAGGCACCACCATGGTCGATGAAGCTGACCAGTGAAACTCTGTAGTATGTGAATAAAGGGCCAAGAATAGAATTCTGGGAATACTAACATCTAAGAATCCCAAAGAGTAAGATAAATCAGAAAAGGGACTTGGGACAAAGATGACAGAGACTTAAAACCAAAGCATTAGCAAGCTAAAAAGGTACAGAAACCATAAAAAGATGTAGTCAACCACATTGCTGCAGAAGGTTAATTTACAAGTGCCTTATGGTTTTGGTCACTGAGAGATCTTTGATAAGACTTTATCGTGATCAGTTCAATGGAGCCATTACTGCAGAGTGAGGAATGAGAAAACCCTACCATATTTGGCGAAGGCATCAAGGAGAAGCAGCAGCAGAGACAAAAAGTGTTTAATCTCTGGGTATAAGCAGAAAAATACTTCTGTTAAGGTATCTAATTATGGGCTGTAACATGGAAAGAGCATTAACCAGTAATAGAATGACAGTTGACATCCTGGCTAATATGCCACTCCTTTGTATCATACTCAAAAAAGAGCATATCAAAATGAGGGAGAGTATGAAATTACTATAGCTGTGATCTGCTCTAACTTAACTTTTGAAGGGGAAGAGATAAGGGTAAGTGGTGGAGGATGCAGGAGAGCAGGAAGGTCGGGAGAGATTTCAGTGTGTCTATATGCTGAAGGGAAGGAGCCGGTAGAGAAAGAAAGCTTCAAGAGTTTAAACCCTATATGCAGAGGGTTTAATCAACAAAACAAGGTCCTGTAGAAGAAACCAGAAGATAGAATTGGTAGTCCTAGAGGGACGTTAGCCATTGATGGAAGAAGAGTACCACGTGAAGAGTTAATGCTGCAAAACACTGAATGACCTCAAAGTGGGTGCAAAGAGAAACTCTTAAAAAAAGTTACTCTGAAGGTAACCCATATTATTAAAGGGGAAAAAAGCACATTTATTTTTATTTATTTATTTATTTTTCTTTTTTGTCTTTTTTCGTGACCGGCAATGGATCGCAACCCTCAGTGTCGCACCCGTACCAGACCAGGACCAGCAACGGGATCGCAACCCTCGGTGCTGCGCCCGCACTTCGCTCAGCCAGTGAGCGGCCGGTCTGTATGTGGGATCCGAACCCTCGGCGGGAGCGCCACCGTGCTCCCAAGTGGCGCACTGTAGCAGTGTGCCACCGGGCCGGCCCAAAAAAGCACATTTAAATATGTCAAATAATGTGATGTGTCTTTAGTTGAAAATAATCATGCTATGAGTGGAATGAGTTCTGAGGGCAGATAGATCACCTTTGTTTTGGGAGTTCTCCCCAACACATCACGTCCTATATTCATGGGGTTATCCAGTGGTACATTATACTAGGAGCCCCCATATAAAAACATGTTTTGATAGATACTAGATATGTACTAGATAATTGATGATTAATGGGTATAATCCCGTAGGCCTAAAAGCTGCTATCTTTTATTAAATCAAAATCCAAAAGTACTTTTTCACAAGGTATGGCTTTGGTGACTTCATTATTCTTTTTCTATTTTGATATTTACTTAAAATGTAATATTAAGTGTCAGAATGTTTTTATACAATATACACCTTTTAATATGGTGACTTATTTTGGAACCATGGCAGAATTGCTGGGAGTTATTTAAATTATCTGCAAAAAGTAAATTATTTATCTTCTGATACGGGATGTTTCTTTGCACTAACTGCTTAAAAATTCTACTGAAATAACTTTTGATTATTGTAATTAAAACAACAAAATTTTAATTAATTCTACAAATTTTAAAGTCCTACTGTTTCCAAAATCAGATGATTTCATAGGTTCTTTCAAACAAAAACAGACAATTCCTATATTATTTAAACTCTTTCATAACATAAAAAAAGTTTTCAACTTTTTTATGAAGCCAGTATAACACTGATTAAGACAGCATACAAAAACTACAGACCAATTTTATTTATGCAAACAGCTTAAATAAAATAATGGCAAGTAGAATTATTTTAAAAGGATAATACAACAAAATCATTCAGGATTTATTACTGAAATTCAAGGGTGTTTTGATATTAGAGAATCTTAAAATAATATCATGGTACTAGGTCAAAAAGAGAAAAATCCTATAATCATCTCAGTCATTGTGCAGAGCCAGGTAACAAATGACAGCCAGATAGATATCCAAATTTTTACCTATTTCTTTTAAAAATAAATACTTGTTAAGCTATCTACTAATTGTCTTCTACTGAATATCATAAACCAAAAGCTTATCTCATATTTAATTATAAAACACTAGAAATGCATTGTCCCATATGGTAGCCACTAACCATATGTACTATTGAGCACTTGAAACATGGCTAGTCTAAACTGAGATGTGCTGAAAGTGTAACAAACACACAGGATTTCAAAGACTTAGTATGAAACAAGAATGTAAAATATCTCAGTAATACTTTTTACATTGATTACGTGTTGACATGACAGTTTTTTAACGTATTGCAGAAACCAAAACTAATTTCACTCGTTTCTTTTTACTTTTTTAAGTGTAGCTACTAAAAAATTAAAAATTGCGTATGTGTTTCACAAATTACACATGTGGCTCACATTCAAATTTAGGTCAGGAAAAAGAAAACAATGTTATTTAATATTGTTCTGGAAGTACTGGCCAATACTAGTAGATGTGAGAAAGAATTAAAAGGCACAGCTTTTGGAAAGGAGGCTGTAAAATCACTATCATTTGCGGACAATATGATTACATATAAGAATACGCAGGATAATAGACTGAAAACTATTAAGAACAATAAGTAAGTTGGCAGGTTACAAAGTTAATAGACAAAAGTCAATAGCTTTAAGAACTCTAGGAACATAAAAGTTCATTAAATGATAAATCATACCATGCCCTTGAGAAGGAAGAAACAATAAAGTCAGAGTGTCAGTTTTCCTTAAAGTCGTCTATGTATTTAATGAAGTCATAATCAAAATACAAACAGAATTTTTTTTAATTGAAAAGTTTATCTAAAAAAATAAAATGAAAATGCTCAGGAAAAGTTTGGACAAGGAGGAAGGGCATTAGTCCTTATTATCATTTGCAACCCAACAATCCAATGCATTCCAGCACACACACTTTTAAAAATCTAGAACACAACTAATTTATTTCACCTAGAGGGGTATTGTGGGAGAAATAATGGATAGATAAATGGAACAGAATGGAGTCCAGGAACAGAGCAAGAGGAAAGAAGGAAACATACGGGAAACTCCCTTGGCAAAAGGTTAAATTTCTATAGTTAAAACAAAAAAGGGCTGCAAATAAAAAGTCTCATCTTTTTTTTCTTTTTTTGCCTTTCAGAATGACAAAACTTAAAGTTTGATACCAGTGCTATCTAGGATGTAGGTGAATGGGTACTTATATATAGTTTGTGGATATATAAATTGATGTGAACATTCTGAAAGGCAATTTTGCACTTAAATCAAAACTTTTAAATACATGTAATTTGCCCTAAGGATATATTTGCAAAGTTTGCCAAGATGAACATACTCACATAAAGACAATAATAAATAATAAATAAAGACAATGATATTGCATGATTTGCAAGAGGAAAAACAGGAAATAATGAGAAACTAGTTGAGTTATGATGTTACATCTACGAAATTGAATGAGGTGGGTCTGTGTGTGCAGATATAGAAATATCTATAGGATATATCTTTAAGAAAAGCAAAGTGCTGGACATTGTATATTAGTATCATTCTTTTAGTCCAAATCTACAAGTATAATTTCATACACATTTATCTGGAAGAGATCAGAAAAACTGTTAACAATGTTTATTTCGGGGAGATTTAGAAATGAGGGTGGAAAGGGAGAAACTTCTCATTTTGTATCTTTCTTCAGTGTTTGGTCTTTCTAATTTTTTACCTGGATTTTTTTTGTTTTTTTGGTATAATATTTTACATTTCAGCAGAGTTATCTGGATGATGAGATTTGTTAAAGAAATAATTATTCAGTCGCAATACATATAGGAACCATTGCCATGGGATTTTGCAGTGGGGGATAGAGATTGGCCTCAACTCCTAATACAGTATGGGGAAGTGGGAATTTATAGCCAAGGAGCAGGTTGGTGGTCCATGGATGGAAAATTACTAAGAGGAAACATCAAAGTAAGGGGGATTCTGGATAAACCAACGTAACATGATTCTTGCTGAAGACAGGTGATCAGACATTCATTACCTGGGGGGTGGTAGAGAGGAAAAGTGTTCTTTCTAAACTGACTTAACAGGGATCTGTGCTAAAACTGAATTTGGTCAAACAGAGAATCTTTGTCAGCTTTTGGACTACTTTTTAAAATTTCCTTATATTTCCCTGTTTTTATAACACACACACACACACACACACTCACACACACTCTCTCTCTCCCTCTCTCCCCTCCCTCCCTCCCTCCCTCCCTAATGTTATTTTTAAAAATCTTAGTTCAAATTAAGCTTAGATAGTCAAAGAAATTGAAGAGCATTTAGGTTAAAGAGCATAATTATAAAACAAAAAAATTAGCTAGATAAATATACTGCATTAAATAAAAAACTCAGCCTTCTCATCTAAATAAGATTTTTAACATTTGGCAAATATTTGATCTTTTTTCTCTATGATTCTTGGTTCAGAATAGGCTATTTAAGCGGTAGTTCTTTGAAACCTAGTTTAGAAGCCCCCAACTGTTCACCATTAAGAAAAAACAAATGTTGGACTAGTTCAAGGAGAAAATTTGAATTAGAGATAAAAGTCTTGTTGATTCCACCTTTTTAATACTTTTTGTATCTGCTGCTGCTCCATCATCCCTGCCAGTTGTCTTAAGCAGGCTCCTTATTTTCTCTTTCTTTGACATCTGTGTTAGCCCCCTGGCTGGTTTCCCTCCCTGTCTCCAGTAGCACTCTTTTTGCAAGATCTTTCTAAAATACAAACCTGACATGTCACTCTGCAGTTTAAATCCCTTCAAGACTTCTTATTGCTTTCAGGATAAATCCAAACTCCTCTGTGAAGGTCATTGTAACCTGGTCCTTACCACTAGACTCTCTCTCTTCGCCCTTTAAAGATAAGCCTTCCTGGCATAAGTACACTTTCACTTTAGAGTTAGGCCCATGTCTTGTGTGAGGCTCTAGGTGCATTCGGTGCTTTTCTTTTTCAAAGCTATGAAAACATGTCTTTGTACTTACCAATCCTCATTGGACTGTAAACACTCTGAGAACGGGAACTTTTTCTTTTCTATCATGAGTGTCTGGCATGTGGTAGATGTTCAGTAAATGTCAAGTCTGAAAAATCGTATTATTCAATAGATTACCAAAATATATCTTTGTATCCTTAGAAAATGAGTAGTCAGCATGAGCTGAGCATACTTGGAACACTTTTGAAATGCAATATAGTCTTATGCACATATGATTTCTTCACATTTGGATAATTCTGTTGAATGTTGATTTATTTACTTTGTGAAAATATTGTCATAAAATATTTGACACTATTGTTCTTTATTAAATCACATTCTATGTTCTTAATAAAGTCGTATGTTTTTCATTCTTGATGATCTTGGTTTCTCCTTTATATAGCTCATTCAACTGATTCTGAGTCATCTTACACTACCAGACTTGTGTAGATTGGCACAGACGTGCAAACTGCTGAACCAGCATTGCTGTGATCCTCTACAATACATCCATCTCAATCTGCAACCATACTGGGCAAAACTGAATGACACCTCTTTGGAATTTCTACAGACTCGATGTACTCTCATCCAGTGGCTTAATTTATCTTGGACTGGCAATAGGGGCTTTATCTCTGTTGCAGGATTTAGCAGGTTTGTGCAAAGCCTTGTTGAGGTTTTTTCATCAGCAGGCTATACTTGCAGTGTAGTAGTTTTCATAATAAAAGTTTGAAATTTTATATGATGTACTTTATAGAAGTAAATCCATTTTGTGTATCATTATGTCCAGAATGCTGCTGCTTATAAAAATAAATGTGTTTTACCATCCTCTTCAGCTAAGCTTAATAATAATATGAAGGGAAACTATACCCTTTACCTGATAGTTTTTAAATCCCAAGTAACTTTCAACACAGCTTTTTTTCTTTCTCATATTTTCAGCACAGATGATTAACACATTTAAAAAACTATTTCCAAATCAAAATCTACCTCTCTAATGTGATTTGTCAGAAATGGAAAACAATTTATTATAGAACATTTTTAATTAAATCTTAATTACATGTGCAATATATCACCCAAATTTAGAAGCTCATTTAAACTAATTATGCTGAAAAGGCAGTTGCATGCTAAATAGACGACCACACTTGCAGACCTGCCCAGGTGTTTCTGCTCCTTTCTATTTAAGCATTTACTTTCCTTACTATTAAATGTCACCTGTTAAACATTTGAAAGCTTACACAAGTGCATGTTCATTTAGTAATGCCATAGTAATTTTTCTTATGATACAAACAGATGTTTTTCTCTTAACCTTGATGATGGTTGCTCTCATTGTATGTTACGTATAATCCCATCATTTTCATAAAGTTAAATAATGGAGTAGAAACTTTGGGGAAATTACTTGTTTTTAATTAATGAATACCCTTTTATGCTATTTTTGAAAGTGAAAAATGAACTACAGCTATCCCTACATGTATCCCCCATGGATGCATTCTTGAACAGTGGTTTATGAATTAGAAAGTTGTATGTGGAGCCTTGTCCTCTTGACTTCTATTATAAAAATAAAGATGCAGTTCCAGAAATAAATATTTGATATTATTAGATTTGGATGAAGTAATAATGTTTGAAATGGTAACATTGTGTTATAAATGCTAACACTGATAGTTTATGCATCAGAGTAAAAAATAAACACAAGCAGTTAAGACTTGTGGCAAATGTTGAAACCATGGATGCATTGAGTTTCATTCTTTTCTGCCAGAAATAGAACAAGGGGATGGGGTTCATTGCTAGACATTTGACAGCTGGCCAGTGGAACACAATTTAGTCCTTCCTACTTTCCCTTGCCCCAACACACACATTCTTCATCTGCAAATTTTCTTCTCTGCTAATAGGACCAAGAACTGAAGCTAATGACGACTGTGAGTATTTACAGCATGTACTGTCAATCATAAACCAAGCCTGACTGAATATGAGAGCAGATAGAACAGGTGGTGTCAGTAAGCATTATATTACATTATAAGGACCTTCAAGGTATTTTAATTACCCTCATGGCTCTTTCTTCAATGTTTCCACTATTAGGAATTTACTGTTTATTTTCACCCTTTATGTGCAAGGCATTGTCGTGGGTGGTGTTGACCACGTGAAGAGACTATGAGATTATTTAGTTCCTGCTTTCAGGATACAGGGAAGGTAAAGATATAAAGATAAACATATAAACATATCATTTATATATTTTTATAAATAAAATAACAGGGTGGCAACTGATAATCGTAGACATTAAAGAAAGCACTGGTAGTGAATGGCTGAAATCGAGCTCCTATGGCCAAGTGCTGCATATGACCACGATAATAATGAGTAAAAGGTAAAGGTAATATTAAATCAGTTTTTTAGAAGTTTTTTTTAATGTAGCTCATTCTCATCCATGAGAAGAAACATCAGTTGTGAGACGAAAACTTAGCAGCGCTATTTTTAAAATTTTAGACTGGTGGGCTGGTCATTTAGCTCAGTTGATTAGAGCTCAGTGTTGTAACACTGAGGTCAAGGGTTCAGATCCCCATACTGGCTAGTCACACACACACACGAAAAGGATAAATTTTAGACTGGTAATGGATAAAGATCTTCCTTTGTAAAGTTAGAGCTCCAATCTACTTTTTCACCAGCAATTCATCTTCTGTTTTCAATTCACCCAGGTTAGTTGCTGTGGGGCCGGTTGAATAATCACAACAATGCAGACATAAATTTGAGTTCTCCATATTTTACTGTAGTATTTCATCTGGCAAAGAAATCCTGATAGCATTCCTTCAAACGTAGTGACTATTCCCATTAAAGAAAGAAAAAGTTTAAATAACAGGGAGAGAGAATTTTGGGGAGAGATGGGGGCATTTTAGAGTTTTGCCTACTGATTGCTGTTGGCCCCTTGACTGCTGAATTCATAGTCATTATGGTTTGTAGGCAGCATTCCCAGAATAAACAATAAATATTCATGGCTTGATTATTAATGAATAATCTATGAATAAGTATGGTCTATTTATGCTCATTACTGTGAAGAAGACTTATTTATAATACTTTAAAGAAAAAAAGTACATTTTAAAACTAGAGAGCAGTGATGATGAGCTGCTCTTTGAGCAAGTCTTTGGGAAAAAGTTTGATGTAGTTTATTTTTGTTGCTTAAAAACCTTATGCTCACAAGTTAGAACTGTTTAACTGGATTTTAAAAACTTTTTAGGAATTTGTATTCAGAATAGCAGAGAAATAGGTTAAATTGGAATAAAGATAACTTAAAACTTTTAATCAGTTATTAAAATCCTATTCCAGCTACAGATTTGTGATGTGCATCTTTGAGTACTACTCATGCATATCATTACTCATTAAAATCATGTCTATTATAATTCCACTTTTCTTTTATAATACAGTCCCCTAAAATCTTGGATATTCCTTTGCTTTGCTGCCTGTTTGTGCATTAAAGATTAATCACATCATTCTGTTCAAAAAGCCTTAGGTTCATTTTTCCATGACCATTTGCCTTCAGATAGTTGCTGAATCACCCTGATTTCTACCTCGGCTATGTGTGGGTTTTTACCCCAACCCCTCTACTTGGATGAAGTAGTTTATATTCACTCCTTCAGGAAACATTCTTGAATGCTTTCTGTTTTCAATAACCTTATTAGATATTTTGACACAGAGCTACAGTTTTATGGTATAAAGAGCTTATTGCCCACTCATATTTATTCACTTGTCTACCTATATTTTATACAGCTGTCTCTTTTAGATTGTCAACTCCTAGAGAGTAGAGACAATTTTAAGACTTTTCCCCCTTCTTTCTACCATTGCTGGATAATACCATAATAGTTAAGCAGGAAGTTTTGTTTTTAATGTCTTTGTTTTGGATGATATATATTAAATAATGTTCCAAGTTATTTGGAATTAATTATGTTAAATACTCTGTTTTATAAGACTTAGTGAGGGTCAGATAACTAAACATAAGATTAGGAAGAAGAAGCCATGGACATTTATATCTAATTCTTCCCTTACCTTTATACTTCAGGTGGGTTGTGAGGATTACTGTCTTTTATTTTGTAAAGAGTAAACTCAGATTAAATTGTTCATTCATGTGATGTTAAATATTTTAAGGGTGTAAGTTAACATTTAGTAAATTATTTCTTAGGTATTTGTATTACTCTGGACAAATTAATTAACCTCATAAAGATAAGCAATTTATTTTTTTCTCCAGAGACTCCTTTTCTCATAGCAGGAGACCTAATTCGGAATTGTTTATCTGAACTTAGGTCTTCCCATAAAACCTTCAATATCAAGAAATATATTATGAGAATTTACAATATAGAGTGACTAGACTGCAGGAAATAAAGAGGCTATAGTTTTCCTTTCAACTGACCAGTATCACAGTGAGATGAATACGTAGTTGGCCTAGACAAAAACATATACGTAATTATGCATTAAAATAAAACTTACATGAGGAGCATTAAGGAAAAAAGAATTGTGTTCAGCTAATTGAGTCTGCTGCTGCTTCTGCCTTCTTGGGATGGAGATATGAAAAATTAGATAGTATAGACCTTGTAAATTTAAGAAGAGAAAATAGGTGGATATTGACCAGATCTGCTCAGAGTAAAAATATGCACTATAGGAATTTTGAGAGGGAGTGCGTCAGAAAGATAGTATAGGTATAGTCATTATCTTTATTGTGTTTTCAAATTCTATCATTCATTAAATCAACTTGAGAAGTTTTCTACTGTCTATTAACAATAGGCTTTCTGATAATTGGCTCATAGCACTCTATAAATTCTTTGGAGGGGAAAAGATCAATAATGAGAGTAAAGAGAAAAGGATGTCAAGACATTCTAAGTCAAATTTGAAAAAGAAATGTAGAACAAAATGCTTTGCCAAATAATGAAGACCTTAGATAAGATGGCTAAAGCTTTTAATTCTGAGTTAATATACTCATTTAACTTTGTAATCTGCAAATAATTTAGAATTATCAAATCAAAATAGGATATGCTTTAATTCTCTGAAACCCTACATCCATTTCTAGACTGATAGCTTATAAATAATGAGCTCTCCATAACTACTATGTGTACTGAAGGTAAAAATGTTAATTTTGCCATATTTCTTGGGAATAGTTTGACCCTATTAAGGGAAAAATACCCTGAGTCACTAGAACTTAGTTTGTTCAAGAATAGAGAAAAATTAAGTTTATCAGGTGAATTTTCATAATTGGAAGATTTACCTAACTGTCATCAACTGTTTTTTATGTGCCTGACAGTGTGCTGAGTACACCAAGGATCTGTTCCATTGCCAAAGGATTTGAGGCAGCTTGTAAAACTCAATATTAAAAAGTTAGTAAGAAAATTGTGGTTAAGAGAAAAATAGTGGTTGGGAAATAGATAATAGAGTTCAATTTAGTATATAGGTGATATGTCATAATTTAGTATATATTGCCTACCTTTGAAGTAGGTCCAGAATCTGAATATTTATCACCACATTTGGTGCTGCCACCTGGATCCAGTGTGCCATCCTCTCTTCCCTGAATATTTCAGTGGTGTCCTGATGGTCTGCCAGTTTTTGCCCCTGTTCCTCTTCAGTCTGTTCTCCACACAAAAACCAGAGTGATCTTGGTAAAACACAAGGAGGTTGCATCACTTCTGGTTTCAAAACCTCTGATGAGTGGGAATCCCATCTTCTCAAAATAAAAGTGTAGTATATTGTGTGGCTTTATAATGTCTTTGATAAAAGTATAGTATACTGTGTGTCTTTATAGTGACACACACTGCATGAACTGCCCCCTCACCTTTCTAATCTACTCCTTATCTCCCTGTCACTTGGTGCCCCCTGCACCAGCCTCCATACTGTTCCTCACTCTGCTTATTATCCTGCCCCAGAGCCCTTGCACTCACCTTTCCCTTTGCCTGGAATGCTCTTCCTCAGATACCTGCTTTGCTCACCCTCTCACCTCCCTCGGTCTTTACTCACCACCTCACTGAGGCTTCTCTGACCACTCTATCCACTCCTGACATTTTCTGTTGCCCTTCCCTGCTTTTATTTCCTCGTTGGCACTTTTTACTCTCTAATACAGTATTTATTTTACTCGTTTGTTTGTTTATGGTCTCCTTCTCTCACCAAAATGTAAATAAGCTCCAAAAGAGCAGGGACTTTGTTTTGTCCACTGCTATCTCCCTGTTGCCTAGACTACTGCCTGGGTCGTAGTAGAAGCTCAATAAATATTTGTTGAATGAGTGAGTGAATGAATGAATGCTTGATGCAGACTAATACAACTAATACAACTAGCAAAGGAAACAGAAATGAGAAGGGCTGGAAGAGATCCAGGAGAGGGAGGTACATGAAGGGTGTCAGAGTTTTAAGGAAGGAATGGGCAGTTGTCTGAAATGTCGCAAATATATTAAATAAGATGTGTGGGCTACTGGGTTACTAGCCATATTTAAAATAAATGGATAGCAACTGAATTTTGTTGTTTAAATGTGAGTTGACCAAGATTTAACTCACATTTTAATGTTTGTGGGGTGCTTTGACCTTTACAAACTGCTTTCACACAGTATTTGATGTTCAGAACCACAAGGTAGTGTGGTAAGTGCTGTTACTTTTACAAGTCTGCCTTTTACAGCTGAGGGAATGCTGAGACTTGGATAAATGCCTTTTCCAAAGAAGTATTGGAACAGAGCAAAAAAGTCTATCTTTTGATTTCTAGTCCAGTATTAACTTCCTTTATTTATACAGGTGATCTGATTTCATCAAAATTTATTTTGGGGCCGGCCCGGTGGCGCACTGGAGAGTGCGCTGCTTGAGAGTGCGGCGGCGCTCCCGCCGAGGGTTCGGATCCCATGTGGAGACCGGTTCCCGCTCACTGGCTGAGCGCGGTGCGGGCGCAACACCGAGGGTTGCGATCCCGTTGCCGGTCCCCGGTACGGGCGCGACACTGAGGGTTGCGATCCCGTTACTGTTCAGTAAAAAAGACAAAAAGGAAAAAAATTTTTTTATTTTGTATTTGTATTTATAAGCTTATTAAGTCATTCAGGAAAAAAGATGTGGCATAAATTAAGTGACAGCAGATCACTGATGTGACACTGATGGGTCAGGTTGTGTCAAGAGACCTGGATAGTAATAATTGGTGCACTGTGTTAAGAGTTCAGTTTGTTTAGTTGATAAAGTTTTATGGATTCAAATACTCCTAGATTCATGTTTACCTTTAGATTGTTTTCAGGAGGTGATCATAAGGACAGGACTGTTTTTCCCTCTGTAATGTAATGTAACTGTAATGTAACTAAGATAAATTCTGCGATTCCTACTCTGATAAAGCATTTTATGTCCTTTACCTTAGATTATTTCGATGTATTTTATGTGAAGCTGCAATTGACTATTTTGAAATAATTTCAACCTCAAGCAGTCCAGGTGCTAAATAGTATCAGCTACAAGGAATATCTCAGCAGTGCAGTTAAACCAACCTAGAAATTTTCTTTTTTTTTTTTTTTTTGTCTTTTTTCATGACCGGCAACGGATCGCAACCCTCAGTGTCGCGCCCGTACCGGACCGGGACCGGCAACGGGATCGCAACCCTCGGTGCTGCGCCCGCACCTCGCTCAGCCAGTGAGCTGGAACCGGTCTGTATGTGGGATCCAAACCCTCGGCGGGAGCGCCGCCTCGCTCCCAAGCGGCGCACTGTAGCAGTGCGCCACCGGGCCGGCCCCAACCTAGAAATTTTCTGAGTTGAGAGGAGGCTGGTCTGATTGAGGTTATTTAATTAAAGTTGTCACTTTGTGTGCAGTGCTCAAAATATATTTTACAGTACTGAATGGGTACCATTAAGGGGGAAATACCTTCCAAGAGTTTAGAGTTTTGTTATGTTTTGTGTTTTGACTTTACCAACTCAGTTACATTCTCTGCTTTCTTAATTGTCCACTTAGCCTTAGCTGACTCTTTAAATGATGTGAATCCATTGTGTCTTTTCAGATTGAGTTATTTTAGCCTAACAGTGCATATTTCAGTATGTAGTGAATGACAATTTAAGTGAAACAAATTTTACATTTTCCCTAATAGAAATCCATTCTTCTAAGTATGTCTGCCTGGAGTTGATATAATTCTAAAGTTCTTGCAAAAATGATTTTAGTTTCATAAAATTTTATAAAACAGGGATTTTTTTTTTTTTTTAACAGGTTTCTGAAGGTTTGTGGATCTGAATTAGTACGACTTGAATTATCTTGCAGCCACTTCCTTAATGAAACTTGCTTGGAAGTTATTTCTGAGATGTGTCCAAATCTGCAGGACTTAAATCTCTCATCCTGTTATAAACTACCACCTCAAGCTTTCAGCCACATTGCCAAATTATGCAGCCTTAAACGACTTGTTCTCTATCGAACAAAAATAGAAGTAAGAATAATTCATCATTTATATCTTTGCTAGTGTCATAGCCAACCGAATATTTAGTTGTCTTTAGTTGCTTATAATGTGATTTCTGATTTTTAAATAAAGCTTATGATGCCATCCGACTAAAATCATTAGAGCTGATCCAGTCATTTCAATGTTATTTAGAGTCTATTATGTTTTTAAATTATAAGGAAAAGTTTTTCTTCTTTGTGTTCTTAAAATTTTTGTGATGCTGTTCATGTTCTCAGGTAAAGAAACAAGCAGTGGCCTGAGGTGAGATAAAATGCTAGCAGGGAATGAATTACAGAAAGAGGAGGATAGTATGCAAGGTTTACATTTGCTTGGAGGGGGAGGAAGGAAAAATGGAATTTATCCAGGATCAGACTTAGGGGTTAAAATTTCTAGTACAATTGTTTATGAGTCTCATTTTATTATTTTTTAAATTTTATTTATTTATTTTTTTTAAAAGATGACCGGTAAGGGGATCTTAACCCTTGACTTAGTGTTGCCAGCACCATGCTCACACAGTGAGCTAACCGGCCATCCCTATATAGGGATCCGAACCCGTGGCCTTGGTGTTATCAGCACCGCACTCTCCCGAGTGAGCCACGGGCCGGCCCAGAAAGCACTTTATTGAAGACCGCGAAGTGACTTAACTATCAAAATGAAGGCCATACAGCGTATTATTTGTCAAGTACATGGTTTGAAACACCCTTAAGGAATGTAAGTTAAAAGAAAGTGCGTGGGGTGTATAATTCCCATGATACATCAAGTTCTGGGGGCTGAAAATTCTTGGAATCAACTCCCATATGCATTGTAAATCAGGCTACATATTAGTCTACTTGCTTTTTTTCATATAATATCTCTAGGACATCTTTCCAGGTCAGTAGATGTACTATCTTAATTCTTTTCACTAACTGTAGTGTATGTTATACCATAATCTATTCAACATTCCCCAAATGATCAACATTTAGTTTTTCCAGTCATTTTCTTTTTACAAACCGTCTATCAATGACATTCTTCTGTGTGTAATTTTATATATACATGCTATTGTTGCTGTAGGATCGAGTCCTAGAAGTGGTATTGCTTGGTTAAAGAGTATGTGTCTGGGCCCCTATAGCGAACACCCACTTTCTGTCATATATTTTTTCCTCTACTTCAGTCTAAGACAGACTTCTGTGATCAAATGGGTGGGGATTTACCCTCACCAAAAGCAAAGCAACCAGTTCCACAGTGGACACCAGCTGGGTGTCCTCTTATTCAATTTCAACACTAACTACTTGGAGATAGTGTCAGAACCCCCAAATTAAATCCTCAAGACAGCTTCCCACTTCAGATGCTAGACGCAAGCTATAAGTTGTTTTACCTGTGCTTCTGACTGACTGGCTATAAAATGGGGTTCCCACAGCCCCCTCCTTGGTTTCAGTTAATTTGCTGAGCATCTCACAGAACTCAGGGAAACACATTTATTGGTTTATTATAAAGGTTATTACAAAGGATACAGATGAGACGCATAGGGTGAAGTATGGGAGAAGGAGTGCAAAGCTTCTGTGCCCTCCCTGCCACCTTCCAGGAACCTCCATGTGTTCAGCTATCCAGAAGCTCTCCCCGCCCCGTGCTCTTGGATTTTCACGGAAGATTCATTTCATAGGCATGATTGATTAGATCTTTACCCAGTGGTGATCAACTTAACCTTCAGCCCTTCTTCCCTCCCAGGAGGTTGGGGGGTGGAGCTGAAAGTCCCAACCCTCTAGTCCTGCTTTGGTCTTTCTGGTGGGTGACCAGTCCTCATCCTGAAGCTACCTAGGGTTTGCCAGCCATCAGTCAGCTCTTTAGCATACAAAAAGACAGCACTTTGGACTTTAGGATTTTTAGGAGGATGAAGACCAAATATATATTTTTACAATATTATATTTTCCAGTGTAGGAAATGTTACTGCATTAAGTAGAACTTCATAAATAATGTGGAATAATAGAGTATAGCAGGTTTACCAGTGTTATTCCTAATATAGTGGGAATGTCTTTGATGTTTCTTTTTTTTATATTTATACTGCAAACATTTGAGTACTTATTAGATGCCAGGTACTGTTCTAGGCACTAGAACTTCAGTAGTGAACTAAGCAGACAACTCCTCTTGCAGTTTACTGTTTTTATATGTTGTTTCATGTTGCTTTGTGATAAGTGGTAGTCTTTATCATTTTTAATTTGATTAAGAATATTTTATCAAAGATGTGTAGTATATTAGGTTTTTTAAAACCTCTGTTAACACTCTCATCTTGTTTCTTTTATTTATGAATATAATGATTTATATTGAACAGTTCTTACATTCCCAGGGTAATCCCTATATGTTTTTTATTTAATACATAGCTAGGTTGATTTCCTCATGTTTTGGAGCCACATTGCTTGGGTTTGGATGCTGACTTTATTACTACTAATTGTGTTACTCTGGGGAAATTTCTCAACTCCTTGTGCTTTCCTTTCTATAAAGTAGAAGTAATAATAGCACACATCTCAAAAGGTTGTGGTGAGGATTAAATGATTTAATATAAGTAAAGTGTCTACAACACTGTGTGGCTCATACTAAATGTTATATTATGGCTTATATTTACAAGTATTTTTTACATCTGCTTTCTTAAGTGAGACTGAGCTATGGTGTTCCTTTTCATTCTATTTTATCAGGTTTGGGGCTAGGATTGTGGCAGCTTAGCAAAATGAATTGGGAAACTCCCTATCTTTTTCTTTGATCTGGAATAATATGAATAAATGGAAATTATCTGTTAATAGAATTTACCTATAAAAGCATCTGAGCATATATAGTCTTTTTAGTGGTAAATCAGAGTAATTACATTTTTTTTTTAGCACATAGCTTTATTTCCAATCTGTGGAAGCCTTAAAGTATGTGAGTATGAGAACTTATATTTAATGTAGTATTCTCAGTTTTGGGCAGAATGTTTAGCTAGAGTTTAATAGGTGAGCTGGTATGGAGGGAAGAAGACTTTTGATTCTAGTTCTGCATCTGCCAATGACAAGCTTAGTGATCTAAATTAAGACATAGTCTCAGATTGCTAGATTTTTTTATTTATAAAATAAGAGGACTGTTGTCCCTGAATGCCAGTTTAAGGATGGTATTAGCCCGTGTTTTCATTGGTCTGTGGTGAAATGACTCACCATATCCGTGGATGTAAAATTGTCAGTTACCTTTTCTTTGATAGGACTGTCCATTCTGAAATTACGCCATACTCGCTTTCATTGATTCATTTACCATTTTATCTGCCTGTATACTGTAAAGTCGGAGATCCTTTGAATAAGATAATGCCTCATTTAAAAATTTTCTGATTGTTTAACTTTGAGAAGAAATATAGCATACTTAATTATTAAGTGAGCTTTTGAGAAAAAAAATAGAGTAAAAACCAAAATATCATGTTAACTTGCCAGGCATCTTACATCTGTGATATTTTGTGAAAATATATCCCATGAGATGCTTTTGAAATGTTATTTATTAACATGATCTAAGTGTCAGAGACTCATTAGTGTACAGTTTTCTTAAACTTACAGCCTCAAGAGACTATTAGAATATGACTACATTTTTTTAAAGGTGTGATTTATGAGGATTGAGAAGATTTTCTGTGTCGAGAGTGGAAATTTATACATGTGTACCTAAGTCTAGATAGCATCAGCTCTAGCTTCCCTCAGTTACTTAAAGTTGTAAAATCATTGTATGAATGCATTAAATAAAGTTTAGGTTGTAACCTATGTTACTTTCTATTAAATTTTTTATTAGGCCATCTGCTAAAATACCATAAAAATCACTTATATACTCCACAGTTTTTCAGACATTGAATATGTGAAAATTTATAAAATTGATTTTCATTGCTCTATAGTTGACTTATAATAAAATTAAAATTGATGTTATTTTAGTGCTATAAATGGCAAATTTAAAATTGAGCAAAACTTACCCAGCCAGTGTTTTCTTTTAATGCTTCCCAACTCTGTATTCAGTGTTCTCTACCTATACTTTACTCACTTCTGTTATCTCTTCATTCTGGGGATCTACATCAGACTCCCATGTGGGCACTAAGTAACTCAGAGGAAAAAGGGGAGAAGGCAATACAGTCAGCTGTTTTTTGTTTTTGTTTTTGTTTTTTTGTAATAGATAGAAGCCACAGCATTGGTATTCATATCTATTTCTAAACACTTCTCTTGTCACTTAAGCAAAGCATTACATCACCTCTTTCTCCCTTTAATACACGTGCCCTTTTAATCCTGCACTTAATGATGCTGATACAAGAGATCAAATGGAATGAGAAGACAAGATTTAGGAGGCTGGTCTCTCTCTAAACCTTCCACGTAATCATTGGCAGTACATTCAGATGTTATAGAGTCTGTATTGAAAAGCAGGATCAGCAACTGATTTCAAAAGCCTCCGCTTGCTCTAAGGAAGTATATGAGAAGAAAAAGAAGATATGAATTTGAGCTTTTTGGGAGAGGTTATTTTGTTTTAAAAGACCTACAAATTATCCAGTGCTACTTTTACTCCTGTTTTTCTTAATTTTAAAATAAGCAAAAATTAATATCATAAAATATTGACTCTAACATATTAACCTCAGAGAGGTCAAATTATGATGTAACAGTTAAATTTTATATACCTATATATAACATAGTACATTTATAAACATAGTACATTTAAACATACATAGTACATAGGAAACGTACATTTATGCCATTTTAAGGAAGTCTGTGTGCATAGTGAATAAAGCTTTAGAAGATTTTGGAGACCTGGGTTTTAGCCCCAGAGTTTGGGAAAACTTACCAAATATATTGTTTGCTGTCCTAGACATTTTGCATTATTACTTATTTTACACCAGTCCAATAAGGGGAGGTGGTATTCCCTTCTTGCAGATGATGAAATTAAGGTCCCAAAAGATTAATAAATTGCCCAGTGGCACAGAGCAGTAATTAGAGCCAGGATTTGAACCTAGGTCTTGTGGCCTGGGTGTTGTAGTT